AACAGTGACAGTGAAAATCTAGCTCTTAGAAATAAAAAGTGACCCTTTTAAATTAGCAATGTCTAGAGACATTTTTGGTCATCACACCTGGGCAGGGGGTGCAGCTGGTATCTAGTGGGTAGAAGCCAAGGATGCACCCAAACTTCTTGTAAAGTCCAGAATAACAACCACCCCATGAAGAATTGTCCTGCCTGAAACATCCAAGGCTCTGCTTTCCCTTCCATAATTAGATAATTATTAAGAATTGATCAATGGTACAAAATAGAAGACACAGAGACAAACTCACATAAATACACTATCTCATATTAGTCAAAGGCTCCAAAAATATTCACTGGAGAAAAGAAAGCCTATTCAATAAATGGTGCTGGGAAAATTGGAAATTTGTCACACATATTACAAAATGAATTTAAACCTCTATCTCTCACCAAGCACAAAACTCAGCTCAAAGTGGATCAAAGACTTAGGCATTAGAACAGATACCCTGCACCTAATAGAAGAAAAAGTAGGCCCACCCAGCACAGTAATTCTTTTCTTATTTTTACTTGATTGATTGATTGCAGAACTTAGATCCAATCCAACGCCTCCATCATGCTGGCCAAGCACTCCACTCCTGAGCTACATCCCAGCCCTGTTCTCTTTTTAAATAAAGGGATCACTAATACTAGTCCTACTAAATTGCCTCTTAGGTGTTAGAGCAGAAACGGCATGGGTTTTCTTTTGGGGATTGTTTTTGCTCACCCTTAAGTAAAATATATAAAAATAGTTATCAAAGGTTAAAAGTTAGAATCTTTCTTTCTGGGCCTAAATACTCATGGGCAAATTTGAAGTTGGTTTTTATTCAGTAATAAGAAACTATTGCTTTTTAAAAATGATCCAAACCATTGGTTGTCAAGTTTTTCAGTAACATCATTTTTATAGAAAAAAATCTTACCCAGAATTTCAATTTGTAAAAAAGTGGTAAGTGGATATTTATTAAAAATAGAATGCTCTAAGTTCAAATATATAATTAATGCAAAATAGGTCACAATTAAAACTCAAGTTTGATTTGCAGATTGTATCACATTGACATGATGAGCATTAGTAATTTTATATATTTATATTATATTGTTATTTTTATATCATTTTATATCATATAGTTGTATATCAGTCTCAACAATTTCATGTCAATCTCAGTAATCGAACATTTCTCCATTTCATTTTAGATGCACAGTATTGAGGAAATCGCGATTTGTTCAGATGGGACACTTGCAAATGAGATTTGTAAAAATTCACCTTGTTAACTGTTATATCAGCAAAAATCATCTATCCCCAGATTTTCCCCAAAGCCATCAGAGTTCAGCAAGGCAAGTGAACATCTTGATGGTGTTAGAATTTGGTACATATTGGAGGTCCACTGGCTCTCCTCCTCTCCCTCTTCTGGAGTAAGAGCCATAGTCAAATTTTTTGGTTTTGTTTTTTTGCTATTGTTTTGGAAAGTATTTTTCTTAAAAGCATGCTATGGGGTTGGGGTTGTGACTCAGAGGTAGAGCACTCACCTAGCATGCATGAGGCAATGGGTTTGAGTCTCAGCACCACATAAAAATATTGTGTCCACCTATAACTAAAAATATTTTTTTAAAAAAGCATGCTAACAAGTAGTGGGTTTTACTGTCCTAAGCTACAGTAGTGTTTTAATTTTTTGCTTGGTTTTCAATGTCTGGTACAGTATATCTCCATATAATTACAACCTCTTTGGGGCCTTTAATGATTCCCAGGAATATCAAGAGTGCCGCTGTGACTGTTCTTCATCACACTGGGGCTCCACTTGGCTCTGACAGGCTCAGGGGCATTTACTAAGTAAGTGAGTTCCTTGGAGGAGAATGCATATGCCCAGCTGGTTGTCTGGTGATTGATACCATTATGCAAAGGCAGAGATCACGAGCTGTGGCTGAGATCCCTGCTACAGGCAGGAGGATTACAAGTTCAAGGCCGGCCTGGGCAACTTAGTGAGACATGACTCAAAAACAAAGACAAAAAATAAGACACGTAAATGCAGAGACCAGTGTCAACATGAAGGTTTTCTTTCTGTCAGGGATTCCATTTGGCATATCCAGTCTGTATATTCAGTTTGCATTGCTCAATGTGCTCAAGTGCAGGGCATCCACTCTGCCATCCAAGAACAGGAACGCTGGAGAAAGCAGCTTTGCAATCCACCGAGGCCCACGAGGGACAGCAGTCCTCTAGTCATGCTTCCTCATCTCAACCCCAAGAGGTCAGCATGAGGGTGGAAAACAGGACCCAAGATCCCTGACTGGTCTAGCTCTTTCTATCACACTGTATAACACTGCTTCCTCCAGGGTGAGGACCAGGTCTACCTGCTGCGCAAAGTTGGCAGATGAGGCTGACATAGGGCGCGTGGCCGCTCCCTCTGCCATCAGACATTGCTCACTGATAGTGCAGCCTAGAAAGGCTTTGGAATCCTTAAACAGCTTAGGTAAAAAGCTGCTCTACAAAATGAATTTGGCCTACACTAAGGAACTGCTGTTGCCATAAACAAAGCTAGAGGGCAGGTCCCATCTCACCTGTGAATTTCTCCTCTCCAGAACTGCTCGCGATTTGGTGCAGAGGTGTGCGACCACTGATAATGAGCACACTGCTGACTCTCAAGTGCTACTTGCGCCCGTCTTCTCCCTCCAAAGGCAAAGTGGCCCTTTGATTTCTAATTTCCTTTTAAAGTTTACTGTGTGTACAAGTATCTCCCTTATTGAAGCAAGTAAAGATCTTGGGTGCATTTTTTAAAAAATCCAATTTTGTGACAGATGCTCTTTTCCTTCCTCCCTGGGGACCTTCTCTCAAAACTGTTCTAAAATCCCAAGTGGCACTTTTTCCTAAGTGCTGTTACTCTACATGCATTGCTCTGTGACTCAGTCACGTATCTTGAAATCTATGACACGTGTAATTTCCATTAATATGTGTTAAAGAAAAACTAACATCATACACATCCTCTGGCCTGGTAGTGTCTGTCATGCTTTTGTGGATGGTATTTTTTTTCCTCTTCAAAGTGGATTTAAAGTATTTATGTACACAAACGTATATCCCTTTTACCCTCTAATTTTTGTTCTTCCACACTTGTGCTGGTGATTAAACTCCTGTTTCCTTCTTGTACTCTAGTGTAAATGGCCCCATTTGCTAAAATTCAGAACTTTGATCTATAGCTAACTTGGCCTGGTCTAAGGACAAGGTAACCACCTTATTCTCTCAGATTGTCACAAGTTTCATCCACACCATTACTCAATAATTCCGTGTCCACCCTAGCTTTAGACACCAGAGTAATATTTAGTCTCCTCTTCCTGATTTATAGCCGTTTTATTCATGAATCATAGGAGCCACTGATTAGCTCCTTAGGAGGAGAAAACATTTTATTGGGATTGTAAATTCCTAATTTTATGATGTCTTTCCATCAAGATCAGCGCCTTTCACTTTACAGCTTATGTGGATGCTTGGGAATTTTATTTTCATCTAAATGCCCCAGAAGGAGCTACCTGAAGCCATGAGGGTCCCCCAGACCTTCCCACGAGTCCCCCCCACAGGCCCCATCACACAAAGCCAGTGACCCACAATGAAGAGAAAAGATATTTAATTATTTCTCAGGCTAATGTCTTAAAGCGCTCCAAGTGTTTTCACAAGTGCAAGGCGGGGATTGTTCTCAGCCAACATTTACCAGTGATTCCGACACACGCAAAAGACTCCAAATCATGGTGCTTTATACTTACTTTTAATTTCTGCACTAAAAAAAAGGTAAAAACGATGACAATTAGGTAACAGTGACTTCAACTTTGCTGTTAAATTAACCTTTGCTCCTGTGGCAGAGGGGCAGGGAGACAAGAACATTGAAGTGTGACGATGGTGGTAACCAGGACATCTTAATCTGGCTAATAAGGGCTCTGAACGCCTGGACCTGGTGCTGTAGCCGCTAGCTCGGGAACATGACAGACAACAGTCAAGATACGTAAAAAAAA